AAAAGACAGGTAGATGAGGCGCTTAGGGACATGGTTTAGTGGGCATGGTGGTGTTGGGTTGATGGTTGGACTCGATGTTAGAGATCTCTTCCAACCTTAATGATTCTATTCTATGGAATCATCTTATGCAAGCTGTCATACAAACATCCCATCCAGAGACTTAAGATAATTTTAATCATGTCTGAATATTCCAGAGAGGACCATCTCTAGCATATATATGAAAAATACCATTATTAGATTCGTAGGTGTTTTAAGTTACCTTTATCCATTTTATTAACAATGAATAATAGGTGACAAATCAGGTTTCTGGAAGGGCCTGAATTAAACTAGTAACAGAAGCTCAGTGTTAAGAGCCTCTGTCCCCTGGCCGCATCTGAAGTCACTGCATGAGCAACTTTTACATGGAATGACTGAAAATTTTCCTTTGGAAAAAACTAACTATTATCATCTGTGTGAGCCAACTGTGCCTCCAATGAAACAGGCTTTACATGTTACAAGGCCCTTTTTAGGGACATGAATATTGATAACAACAGAACATGGGTCTCTGAAGGAATATAGATACTCCGGAAGCATACAAGAGCTAATCCAAGAGCCCAGGCCCTCAAAACCAGTGTTCAAATGATAAGCTATTTGTTTGTACTATTAAAACGTGTCTCTAGGATCCATACCTTTTTCCATATATATTCTTCTAGTCTGTAGTAGTTCAGCTCATTTTGTTTGCTTAGGTTTGGTACCTAGTGTCGGGATGATGTTCACTAATATTAATCTACTCCTCTAAAATATCTATCATTCCACTGCTCTGAATGTACTATATTAAGTTACTCATTCAATGCACATCTTGTATTTGTGTGTCCTAAATTTGTTTTCCTGAAACCCTATGGCTGTTTAAGTCTTTTAAAATTGGTTTCAACTGGAGGAGCATTACCATACTATCAGTTTTCATAGTTAATTTTAGTAGTAAAAGTAGTGATACATGAAATGACAACCCAAATAGAAAGGGACAGGGAGTATAAAGAAGTCCTGCACACTAAATCATGTAACAGGTGAACGTCTGAGATTTGTTGAATTAGAGGCTTTTCAAATATATTAAAAAAAAAAAAGATAAAACAAGCCAGACTACACAATGAAGAATAGCCACTCAGATGACTGAAGACAATCTTACATACCTAATAGCTTCTGCCATCTTAGTGCTTTCCTTTTTTCTATCATCAGTTAAACGTCGTATAAAATAAATAAAATCAAGACCACAGCAGAAAATGCTACCAACTGCACTGAACAGGACAAGTTTACTGTCATCTGCAGCTGCTGTGTTCAGTGCACTTTGGACTTCCTTCATTACCTGAAAAATCAAAAATTCATTAGAGTCTTTTTATTACATCATTAAAAAGTAGCATACTGTTCTCCTCCCTTCCTCCCCCCATGAAATCTTTGGCATCGTTAATTTTTCCTTAGGATCCACTCAACCATCATATCAGAAAAGTTAACTTTTTTCATTATCCCAAAATAAGAAAGTTAAAGTATTAGAAGCTTTGCCTTTCAAAAATGTAATTAGACTAAGATAATGAAATCATTAAGAAAAGATCTATTAGATGTTATCTGTAACTAAAGCACTCATTCAGCATTTCTGTAATTTGGACAGCAGATGGCATATGCAACCAGTTCAGGAAAAAAACCCCAAACAAACAACCCTTAATTCAGGCTAAAGCTTGTTTCAAGTAGCACTTCATAAATCACCACATGTCTTATACGAGACAGTACATCTACATGTTCAGATAACATAGTTAAAACTCAACTGAATTACAGTTAAAGTCAGGTTATGTGTAACATCTTGCAAGCAACAACCTGAATCTTGTTTTGTTTATGTTTGTGCCTGAATAACAGGCATAAATTAGGCAGAGACTTAGAATTCCCTCAGCACCCTTCCCCCCGCAAAATCAGAATTGTTCTGACCTCTGGATTTAGTGAATTATTTTCAGATGATTTTGTTGATAGCAAAATGTGTGTGAATCCATCTTGTTTCCTGACAACAATGTCTCTGTACCGGTACGCACTCTCCGTTTGTCTCACGCTGAAACGTAGCCTTTTATCAAAAGGTTGGTCTCTCCTGTCATCAATAAACCTCCGCTTGCTGGCTGTCACTCCTGTTACAGATGTCTGTATGTTGGTTGTACCATTGGCTGCTAATGCTTCCATAAAGGTGGATGTACCTGGAAATAGTTCAAACAATAACATGCTATTAATTACATTTTATTAGCTCAGCAGTTTCAAAATCCCTATTAGCATGAAAACACACCAGTCATACTAAGAACACACAGTAAATATGAAACTCGGTCCCCTAGAAGTTACTGAAACGTTACAGAAATAGGCACTGTGCACAGAGCAAGATTAAAGTGACAAAGGGACCCAACAAATTCATTTTACAGTTGTGAAAAAATACATTTTACACAAGCCAAACAGACTAATCATCACATACTTATTTTTAGAAGGAAGGGAAAGGTTTATTTAACGTTCCTAATACCAATACACTTCAGTAGGTTAACACTCTGCTTTCTCCCTTTCCAACATCTTTAAGTCGTCTAACAGCATCAAGATTGCAAAGAGAAAGCAGAAGCCTTTTGCTTCAAATGCCAGGAGAAGTTAATATACAGAAGAAAACGACACTTACAATAAGCCAAATAAAGAACTTGATTTGCAAATCATATAAAGCATAATAGTCGTTAGAGAAAAATGGAAATGAAGAAATACAGACTATGCTTCTGTGAAAGGGAAACAAGACGCATGCAGTGATGGATATTTTAATGGATTCATAGACAATGAGATATTTCTCAAGTCTAAACAATTTTTGCTATTAGAATTGGCAAATAGAGCATTATGTCTTTCTGGTCTTGTTCCCAGTCACTTAAATAGAATTTGAAGGCATGCAAGTAAACAGGCCATTCCTCATGACACTGAAGGGACAGATTTTTCTGTACTCCACATTCGAAACATAATACCAAATAATCAGCATTCATAAGAGGAAACAAGAGACCATCTTGGATCGATAATCCATCTGTATGTTAAAGTCTCCACGTAAAATCCCCATAAAATTTGTCAGATTAAAGTAATGGAGTATGCGTGGGGACAGGGGACAGTAGGGTTAAAAATGTTGGAAAAGTGTGTTACAGGCCAAGATAGGAAAGTTTTGAAAGCCTTTTTCTGAAAACTGAGGTCTGAGACTTTGTTAAAATCTACTGGAAACCCACAGCCCTTATCTCACAAACAGGTACTTCAGAACATCGTGCATATGTTGTCTTAAAAAAGTACAGTTAAACCACATATAAATAAGTTGTTAATTAAATACCATTAATAGATCTTACTTAATTCATCATTATCTTTCTGAAGAATCTGTGTTTTTAAAGTTCTAATAATATGCAATGCTATGCTTTTTAATATTTTTTTTTTTTTTACAAGATACTTCAAACACTTGTAGGTCCAGTGAAGACATTAAAGAGGCTCACCTAAATAAATGGAATATCCTGTATCTCCACATTTTAACTGTATTCAAGTGTTGCTTACTTTGACCCATATGAAGTATGAGAGATAAGAGAAAGACTAAAGAAATTAAAATTTAGAACATTATATGTTTTTCTATTTGTATTTCAGAAACTGCCTTCAGATACAAAGTCTTTCTATCAAATATGTTAAATAAGTAAATCTTTGATTATAAATCTGTTATGATTAATTAGGCAAGTTATCTGTCAAAGGAGCTATACAATAATAAGGTTTTATTTTACTTTTTAAAGTCTTTCTTGTTGTATTAGTGATTTAATCCTCTTACCATACCACTTTTTGTGAAGAAGTTAAAGACAACAAGATTTTTCAATTGTTTAAAGTGAAGAGTAAGAAACTGAATTCAGTTTGTGATCAGTCTCAGAGACAGAGGTGAACAAAATGAAATGGAAAATTAATATTTTATATTGTCACAGAAGTTTCACATTTATTCCTAAGTTTTTCACAGCTTATCAAATTCCTTTTTTCATTGCAGCAGAATAAAAATTTGATGCATATGAAATATGAAATTGATGAGGGATGTTTTCGATACTTTTCCCTTGTAAACTACCCTATGTTGATTACATTCCTTTAGAAGAATTTCCTTCAAAGGGAATTTGCAGGAACACCACTGTTAGCCCATATTTCATTAGGAACACAAGATGAAATGGTATCACTGGCCACAACGGTTTGTTTTTCCATGGGAAAGGTAAATTAAAACAACTGAAATCACCTCTGATTTCTAAACCCTGATAGAAGATTTTATGGCCTCTGTCCCAGCCATAGTGAAAAAAGTGGAGAACCAGGAGAGCACAATAGACTAGACCAAAAAAAAAAAAAAAAAAAAAAAGTCAGAAAACTTGTGTAAGAGCTTTGAGTAGATCTTTTCCCATGATTCACACTTCCAAAGACACACTCAAATACCAGAAAACTACTTTTGAGAGGTAAGAGGCAATGATTATACACTTTGAGAGACAAAACCTTTGGCAAGAGAGACCGAGATGTAAATACCACACACCACTTTTCAGGCTTATTGAATTGGCAAGAGACCTTCTGAGTTCATATAAACTCTGCCTGCACTCATCAATAGTTGCAGTTTCAAACCACAAACAAGGGACAGCTGCAGTTCAGTGGAAGAAGTCTCCTACATCCAATCTTGTAAACACACTTCTAGGATACTTCGACCAGAATCAAAAGCCTGTCAGCTTCAGAAACTGTACCTCTGCGCAGGGAGGTTTGGCCAGCTGGTACGGATTAGAAAACGGCACCGACAGAGTTAAAATACGTTCATTAGTGTTTGTCACTATCGCTGAAAGTTTGTGACCTTCTACACCTTACAGTGTAGGGGGCTCTTTCTTTTGGCATGCGGTCCTCAAAAGTGAAGAGACATCTCAGAGATGTAAAGCAGTGCTTCATGCTATATATAAATAGGCAACGGTTACATCACTGGACAGTCTCGGACATGTGTTGCAGCAAACGAGGATGAAAATAAAAAAGTGCCAGAGAGAATTAACTGTATTGCAATAGATTTACTCACATGAAAATTTTGCATTGAGGTTACTTACTTTCAGGTTAATTACAGCTATATTTTACAATTTTAAAATATAGATTTCATAACAAACCAAAAGCAGTTCTACATTTTAATACATTACTAGATGTAGCACAAAGACAAACAAAAAACCCCACAGGCCTCTCCTTGGGCTTGGAAAAAAGACAATTTACCCTGGATATTGTCAACTAATGCAGAACTATGTTTGTTTAAGACACAAACAAACAGCTCTTACAGTTACAAAAAACCCTTCCAACTGCAAACTGTTAATGTAGTGTGATCTTCTCAAAGGTGAAGACATACTACTACTATGCAAAGCTTCACCGTACAGATGCAAAAGGAAATTAAGAGAACTTCTTGGTTTTGCAGCTGCTGATCAAAACCCGATTAACAGTCACCATTTTCATGCAGCTGCTCTTACAGAAAAAAAAGCAAGCTACGGGCAACAGATAAGAAAGGAACTGGTCTTATTCAAAAGGAAGACAGACACAAAATACAGAAGTTGGAAAAGGGGCAGAACAGCAAAGGTATCATCATCCCCATTCCATTGGCAGAAGACAGAAAAAAACACCTCTCCAAAATATGAGGGGGATAACAATTAAAATGCACGGTGGCAGACATATAAACGGAGTTAAAAACAAAACAAGTAACACAACAATCCAAAAGTTACAATCCCAAGCTCCTCTCTAAGCTATTCGTGCCTCACTCTTATTGTCTCCCAAACTCTTGAGAAGTTCAGTTTAGCTTACATAGCAAGCCTTGAGTACGAACACTCCCCTCCCTGCAACAATACTGGGGACACATCGCAACAGGTGCCCTAATGACAGCCAAGCCTCTTTTGCACACTTCTTTGTGAGTACACATGTACTAGTGCCAGTACTCTTAATTCAAAGGTTTGTCTGACAGAGTACGCTGTTCCTGAAAGGCTTAGCACAGATGTCTAAGGAATGAGCATAAGACGACGGGAGATGTGAACGATGCTGTCTGAGTATTTTCCCCAACTCCAGCCACCAGAAATTTAGGGATGCCTAAAGTTTGCATGCCCAGAGCCATAGGACGCACCCAAACCCACCATGTAATTAAATCCTTATCCCCCACAGGACTGTCCAATTTACTTCTGAAACCACTACGGTTTTGTCTTCCAAAGTATCTTTTTGCAGTAAGTTCTGCAACGTCCATCTTTACTTTCTTCATCCCTTTCATCATATCCCTTCTCCAGATTGATTAGTCCCAATCTTATTTACCCTTTCTTTTTCCAGAAGCCAGCCCAAGCCTGTCATTCTTCTCCATGCCTTTTCCTCTTCTACTAAGTCTTGGAACAGGGTCCAATGGCACGCAATATGGGGATTTATAGTGTGGCATATTCGAGCCTTCTCTTTTGTCCTCTACTGCTTTTCCATAATAATTTCTAACAATTTATTTGGTTTTGTTTGTGGTTTTTTTTTAAATTAGTACTGAGCAGGTGTTTGCAGAAGACTACCCAAAACAAACCCAATGCCCTTTTCCTGAGCTGTAACATGTAGCCAGGAACCAGTCATTGTCCAGGCATGGTTTTATGTTTTCCTATAGGCATAGTTTTGCCTAGAA